TTGCATTGCTAGGTCTACTATGGAATCAGAATTCATAACTTTAGATAAAGCTGGGAAAGAAGCAGAATAGCTTCGCCACTTCCTTGAAGATATTCTAATGTGGCCAAAACCGGTGCCTACTATTTGCATACATTGTGATAGTCAATCAGCAATAGGTAGAACATAGAGTCATATGTATAACGGTAAGTCATGACACATTCGCCGTCGACATAACACCGTAAGAAAACTACTCTCTAATGGAATTATTTCCATTGAATGTGTGAAATCTAATAGCGGATTCACTAACCAAAGGGTTAGCAAGAGAGATAGTTGAGAATTCATCTAAGGGAATGGGACTTAAGCCTATTAAATAAGAGTTATCACAATGGCAACCCAACCTAGTTGACTGGAGATCCTAAAATCTAGGTTCAAAGGGACAACCGAGTTGTATATGACTTAGAAGAATCATTGGGGAGTCCAACTCCTACCCATTTCTATGATGAAATAGTGATGTCTGCAGCATTTTTAGGTTAAGTAATACTTTTAATGATTCTTATATCTAGGTAAACCTAGTGGAGTATGTCAGGATACTCTTCATAAGAATCATCTATGTGAGTGTGAACTGGGCCAGTTCTATGAGATTTGTGAATGGCCATAATTCTCTAGAGCACTCATGAAAGACCAGGTTGTTCAGGGCCAAAATGAACACAAATAGTGAGAACTAAACTGTGTCTGGTGATATAATGTGTGAGTTCTATTGTCTTGGTTTACACAAATGGCTGAATAATTCAAGACATCATGTTCACTAGTTAGCTAGTAAATCCGATAGTCTCTCACAAAGGAAGGTTCAAACCCAAAAGCCATTTATCCTTTGTCGAATATTCCTAATTTCTGTACTCTCTGTGATTAGATCATGTTGTTGCATTTTTTCTCCGTCAAATTCCATTCATGTGGGGGATTATTGGAAATTTTGGTTTTATAGGCTTCTTTTGGGCTATCTTTGAGCCCAAGTTTGAGTGGGGTCCACAAGTCTTTTGAGGTGGGTCCGAAGAGGTGATGTGTTCCTTGCCACATGGCAAGTCACATGGTGAAGACGATTCATCAAAACTATTTATGAGTGAATAGGAAGTTGACGTCGTTTTTGAGTTCGTGAAATGAACATTTAAATAATTAAATGTGGGTTTCCTTGAAATGAGGTGTCCCACATTGAAACTTAAAGAGAACTTATGTGTGTGTATAAGTTCTAGGTGACAACACTTGGGTTGGGCCCCAAGGGGCACCCCAAGTTTGTAGAAGGGAGGAGTTATGGTCAAATGGAACCTTAGCCCAAACCACCACACGCTCGCGCGTGCCGCTGCCACCGTCTATCCGATCGGGCGCGGGTGTGGGTCGGGTTGGTTCTAACTTTAATTTTTTAGACAAAATTCATTTGGATTGCAAAAAATTATTTGAATTCAAATTTTTGTCCAAAATTTGTGCCTCTTCCAATTTCCACAACAGTTTCAAATTTCGGACAGATTGAAACTGCCCAGACAGATCTATTCAGCAGTTATAAAACTACCCAGACATATTTAATTCTGTCCAGCAGTTACCAACAGATTCAAACTCCAGCAGTTATCTGTTCAAACAGTGTTGCACCTGTTGGTTTGAGTTGAATATGTTCTAGTTTGAAATTAATACTAGTTCGGGTCTGCAATTTTCCTATGTATACCAGCATTTTCCAGTAGTGCTCTGGATCCGAAAAACAATCTGCAAAATAAACTGTAAATTCTTTTTGGTTGCCTTCATTTTGCTCTCTTACATCAATTATTCTTCACATTATTTTAGGAAAAAATTCAGAGAGTTTAGAACATAGGTTTTGTTCGCCGAACAAATTGTTTAGAGTGCTATTACAATATGTGAAGATCATTATATCCTGGGAGATAGACGCCATTTTTCCATAAGCACCGTAGCGGGGCGAATCTATCTTAAGGACAGAGTGTCACACACTCGACTTGATCTTTTTATTATTCATTTGGTTCGGTAAAATAAATTTGGTACGTTATTTATTTTATTTGTTTGATTTAGTTTCAATTTATTTATTGTACACAGAAGATTGTTCCAACAGAATATACCCAAACATCAGTCTATTTGTAGTCAACAAAACTGTTAGAATATGGTTCTGCAAAAATAATTTTTTTGGTCAGTTTTGAACAAAAATTAAAGTGGTTTTCACACATCTATTGCATATCAAACTTTAATTTGCTCAAAATCATTAAGGAACGAACAAGAAATTAATTCCAAAATCACTGTTTGAATATTGATTGAAAAATGCTAGTTTTTGTCCTACATATATTTTTTTTATTAAAGTTTGTTAACTTTATTTAGTCTAACCTTCGACTTGGGGTTAGGCCCTTGGGCATCTGAATTTTGTGGATGAAAAGTTTGTTGGCTTTATTTAGTCTAACTTTCAACTTGGAGTTAGGCCCTTATGGGCACTCAAATTTTGTGGATAGGGGAGAATCTAACCAAATGGTATGCTTGCTTGTGCTACCCCTATCCAAGCTGGGTCAAGTTAAGTTGAGCAGTCTGCATATATATATATATATATATATATTGGATAAAATTATTAATTATTTACTTTCAAAAAAATCAAAGCTCGTGTGTTTTTTCGCTATGACCATATATGATTTTAGCTTCGTGATTGCTTCGAATAGGTATGAGAAAGTCTATAAAATCATCCCTTTTCTGGCATATTCATTCATTCAATTGTCTTTCTCTTTAGTATCATTATTCTAAGTGTCTAATAGTACAGTCATTTGTTTGGTTCACAAGGCAAACATTCAAAATGTTTCCATTGATCGTTGCAATGAGACGAATTTTGTATTAAAAAGATAGCGTCCAACACTAACTTTGACCAGCTTTTGTATCTACAATTTACGCTATGTAAGTTTATTTTCTTTTGTCTCTCTTTTCTTTTTTTTTTTTATCTGAAAATCTGATCCCAACATGAGTTTGAAATGTCCACCTCTCAAGATACCACACGACCTTACGTAGTTTAGCATATTAATTACACACAAACAAATCAAATCCATCTTATTCTTTACACAAATCTAATTGTTAGCCCGCCTCATAATTTACTTAAATTGAAATCAAGGATAGTCTCTGGTACAAAAATTTGCAAATAATTCCAAATCTAATTATACTAAAATCAAATTAAACACAAGGTTATGGGCTTACTTTCAATAGAGTGAATTGTAAGTGAAATAAATTACATAGTAAAAAAGTAAAATCCTCTCTTTCTTTTTTTCTTTCTTTTTTCTTTTTACAATTGATAAGAGAAAATAATGGAAGTAAAAATTGCATGATTCATTAAAAAAAAAATTTTTTTATCAATCCAATAATTGTAATCCTTTCATTTTATCGTATTTATTTTGGAAAAATAAATGTTCTATTTTCAAAAACATACTTATTAGTATCTATTTTTTTAGAAACAAATGCCATGAAATGAAAATATTACTATTATTAAATTGACTTAATTTTTTTAAAATTTTTATAGATGATATATATCGAGAACTTTACAAAATAAACATTCAAATAATCTAAGTAGGATTCATGGTGAGGTCAATAGACCCTGAAAATTCTCTCAAATTCAAATTTAAACTTGAAAAGAAGACAACTTAAAATTTAAGGTGAATTACATTAACTTTCCTTGAGGTTTAAAAAAAACAAAACACATAGTAAGCTCCACAATTTAATATAATTACACTAATTTTCTTTTTAATAAAATTAAATGGAATGAAACTAATGTAGATAGTGTGAAAACACAAAATTATACAACATAAAAAAAATATTTTCGTATAAAATATGACAATATTATTTTTTTTTTATTCATATAACTGACAAATTATTGATAAGAATGAAACCAAATGTTATATTAATTAAAATTGCAAAGGTACTTAATATAATTATGCCAAAATCATGAAATTTACTTTATTTTCTCCAAACCCAAAGAAACCCAAAGAAAGTTGAATCTAATTTACCCTAAAGTTTATTGTAGAGGAGAGAAAGAGAGATGATTATGAAACTTAGCACTTTTATTTATTTATTTATTTATTTATGTATTTATTATTATTATTATTATTATTATTATTATTATTATTATTATTATTATTATTATTATTATTGAGACCTTAAAAAAGCTCTCACAATTCTATATGTTAGGATAAGTATCAATTTTTAATTTATTACATATTCAATGATTAAGAGCCCAAAACTTTTACCACACATTATAAATAAACTATTTGTCAAATTTATGACTCTTTAGCATTAATCTTATTTTTTTTGGTATGGTTCTTTTGGTTGTGGATAGAGCCCCAGCTAAAGTGGATGTTTTTTGAATTAATGCTAATGACTCAAAACCATACTGCCAATAGGGAAAAGAACATTTAGGCACCCTGCGTGATATCCCAAAAACACAATTGCTCTGTTATCAAATGGATGTGAAGTTGATGTTAGCCACCTCCTTCCTTATAGTTATTAAAAAACTTGAACCCATTTTGTGTGTCCCATCTCACTTCCATAGTAACTACAACTCCCTTCCTTTTTTCTACCTTTTGAATTCTTGTTCCTCTCTTTCAGACCTCAAATGAATCCATGCTCTCATACTTACAAATGGGTCCCACAAAAACCTCCTCTTATCCACGAAACTCATCACCTTATCTCGCTCTGTTTGATTTAATGCCTGAAAGGGATCTATTTCTCTAGAACACCATGATTTAAGGTTATGCCGATCTGGGTCCTTGTCAAGAAGCCATAGTTCTCTATAGAGACATGCATTGGATTGGATTATTACCTGACAGCTATACCTTTCCTTCCGTGGTTCGATCTTGTGCTGTCCTCTCAGCTTTGATGGAAGGGAGAGAAGTGCATTGTAACATAATTAAGAATGGATTTGATTTGGATGTATTTGTACAGAGTTCATTAACTACAATGTACTCGCAGAGTGGGGAGATTTCAATTCGGAACTAGATTTTGGTGAGATGGTTGTGAGGAACATAGTTTCTTGGACTGCATTGATTGCGGGATATGTGCAAAATGGATTTTTTGAAAAAGGGTCGGGCGTTTTTCATGAGATGGTAGCTCTGGGGACTCAACCGAATGCAATTACACTCATGAACATTCTTCCCGCCTATGCTAGTTTGGAGTTTTTGAACATGGGGAAATTGGTTCATGGTTGTGCTGTTAAATTAGGGGTGGACTCTGATATTTCACTGATTAACACTTTAATCGCTCTCTATGGTAAGTGTGGAATTGTTGATACTGCCAGATCTTTGTTTGATCAGATGCCAGTCCGAAGCCTGGTCTCGTGGAATGCCATGATTGCTGCTTATGAACAGACTAATGTTGATCGGTATGCAATTAAGCTCTTCCGTAGAATGCTAATTGAAAAGGTAGAATTTGATTATATCACAATGGTTAGTGTTATATCAGCTTGTGCTAATTTGGGAGCACTCAATACTGGGAAATGGATACATAAGCTTGTGAGGAACAAAGGTCTTGAAACTAATGTTTCGATTACTAATGCTTTAATTGACATGTGTGCAAAATGTGGAAACATAGATTTGGTAAGGGATGCTTTCGACAAGTTGCCTCATAGAAGTGTTGTGTCCTGGACTTCAATTATAGGGGCCTGTGCATCTCATGGGCATGGGGACAATGCTCTGATGCTCTTCACAAAGATGAAAGAGGAAGAAATTTGGCCAAATAGCTTCACCTTCATTTCTGTTTTAACAGCTTGTAGGCATTCAGGTTTAGTAGAAGAAGGGAAGAAGCATTTTGAGAGCATGACAAAAGATTACTCAATCAGACCTGCTGTAGAGCACTGTGCTTGTATGGTGGATCTTCTAGGTAGAGCTGGCCAATTGGTGGAGGCTTATGAGTTTATCGAGAACATGCCAAGTGGACCAGATATTGGTGTTTGGGGAGCTTTGCTTGGTGCTTGTAGAATCCATGGTAATCTTGAGCTAGCAGAGCTTGTTGCTGACCGGTTGTGTCAGTTGGAGCCTCAAACTGTTAGTTTTTATGTCCTTATGACAAATATCTATGCTGAGGCTGGTAGGTGGGAAGACGTAGCAAGATTGAGGAAGTTGATGGAAGAAAGAGAGTTGAAAAAGATTCCAGGCCATAGTTTGGTGGAGGTAAACCAGAGGTTTCATACATTTTTATCAGGTTCAAAATCACGGCCTTTCTAAAGTGTTATATTCAAGTATATCACATTCATCTCAAGTACTGTGGCCAACATGTATAATATAGGATGCAAAATGGATACTAGTTTCTTGTAAGCAATGACTAGCATTTGGCAAAATGTACCTCCGAAAGATTGAGCTAGCTGAGTGGATTGATTAACCTATGAACACTATCCTAATGGTAAAGTTGGGAGTCCAAAGGATTTATTTTGAGGGACAAAATTTGCATGGCTGGTAGCAATATCCTTAAAGTGGTAATAACCAGTTGGGTTGTCAAAAACTAAGTATTTATTTATTTATTTGTTAGTCATATATTTAAGTTTTGTGCCTTTGTTACGGCACAACATTGGAAATTTTCAGTTGGAATAATGTTTTCTCTGTCGTTACCAAATATCCTATTGATGTAAAAGTGATATGATATCTATCCTCACAGAATGTTATTGAAGTCAATAAACTACCTGAGATAATCTCTAAAGCTAATACAGCTTTCTTTTCATTTTTTTTAGAGGGTGACAGATTTCTTTTCAGTGAGACATGTAAAAAATGAAAGTTACCTGGTGGTTTTCTTTTCGTTTCAAGTATCATGGTTTCTTTCACATCCAGAGTTGTTTTTTTTAGAGGGAACTACAGGCAGGTGGGAGAAAGGGAAAAAATAACCAACACATGAGGGTGCAAACTACACGCAAGTGAGAGAAAGGGAAAAAAATAACCAACACATGGGAGGTGCAAACTACAGGCAAGTGAGAGAAAGGGAAAAAAATAACCAACACATGGGAGGTGCAAGCCTTTCATCTGCAACCCACCACTGACACACTTGCACCCCATGTGCAGGTAATTTTTTTCCCCTTCTCCCACCTGTATTTAGTTCCCCTGTTTTTTTAATCCCTGAGCCATCTTCCAGAAATTTGAAGAAATAAAGCTGTTGCAATTCTTAATGGTTATGTTGATGATCAGGTCACTTGTTATGCATAAATTGCCTTGCAATTAGTTATTTGCATCACGAACAAGAAGACCTGCCATAAATACTAAATACTAACAGAAAAGTTATTTATTTTAGGAACTCTATTTTGTATCTTTAGTATCTGCTTTACTTGAGCATTTCCCCCAACACCGTATTAGTTAATTTTTTTGAGTGTAAGAATTTCCTGTAAGCTGAATGATTCATTTGCTGAATTTGAAGACAACTTTATGCAGTGGTAAATTTTATTTTCATCATCCCTAATTTGGGGTGAGCTGCTGTGGCCACTTGGACAATGTATTCCTTTTTCATACAATCAATGGAGGTAAACTTCTGCCAAATAAGGTTTTATAATTCAAAGCAAAGCAAGAAAGTTTGCTCTTTCGATAATTGAGGGGTTGCCATTTCGACCACCTGATCACAGAGAATGTGAAAGTGGCATAAGCTCTTCATGGTTAAAAACAGAAGCCAGAAAAACAGCTTGTAACTACCATCGGAATACCTCAAAGCCCATCTTTTGGTAAAGTTCTTGTGCAGGTCGGTTTTTTCTATGCACATGCACAAATACCTGCTGTGCACCTGCCATGGTTTAAAGTAAATCATGTTTGCTTTTGTTCAAAATCCAAAGAACCGACGCAGGTTATCGTCTTACCATTGGATTTAGCTAACTTAACAGCAAAATACAACATGTTCATTGCAATACCCTGGCGGCGAGCAGATTTGGAAACACAGAGGTTTGCAATGTAAGAGTATCTGTTTTGGCCTGTTCTGTCAATGCTGCAAAAGAGAGGGGCTTTCACCATTTCCTGTGAGAGGACAAAGTTCGAAGTTGAGGCAACAGAAGCATTGAGTATTGGATGCAGATTCATTAATTAGATGAGAGTTTACCCCAGGAAAGGTCTCCCCAGGCAACAAGTATCGGATGCTCAAATCTAGGGTTCCAACTACACTCTTCAGTATGGTACATTTCACATTCTTGTCTTCCTTCTTTACCTATTAATTTGAATGACCCTGTATGAGGAGCTTCTTTGATAATAAACATAAAATTTTATCATTAACCCAACCGAGAGATCAATGAACTCTTTCAAATGATGAAACTTGAATGTTAATCCTATAACCCAAAGAAACT